GTTGGAGTGAAGATATTATGACAATATGCAATCAGCGTTCAATCACTCACAGAGTAGATTGCTACGTGCTATTGACGTATTTGTTTGGGAATGAATGTTGAACAGGTGAAAAGGTTTTGAACATTTAGCAATTAATCATTGATCTTTTGCTGCGCAAAGAAATAAGGGTAGGCATGTCACCCCATTGAAACGCCAGCCAGTGCACAATCGGTATGGCGAAACACCTAGTTCAACCGACTGTATCGAAAGGTAGGCTCAATGCAGCCTCAATTCCTGCCTTGTGAGAATATATGTACGTGAACTTCGACTTCAAAGGAAACTAACAGCAAAACCTCTAATTAGAGAAATGACGGTGGATTACACCCGATTCCTTCGACCTTTTGGGACAGGTACCTTATCCAGGGTAAGGTACCTCGGATATGGACATGGAAGCAGATGCGTAAGTGTGCATAAAGCAGGACTGCCTCGCAAGCTCATCGACCTTTATCGTTCATCGACGAGCATCAAGCAATTAAGAGGTAGTGAAAGGCCGTCGCTCATCACAATATAGGGTCCTGGGTAGGATAATGGAGCGACTTGGACATGCAAAGAGCTGAGTTGAACGCGAGTCGCATGATATCGATCAAACAGGAATGTGAGACGATGAAAACTACCCTGCGGCAAGAATCTTTCCAGCTACGGAATTGATAATTTCGAAATACAACAAGAATCGATAAGTTATGCGTCTTGCATCAATAAAACGAACATAGGGACGGGATGGAAGGATATCAACCAACAATTGGAAAACACACACAACCCGTGATTGATCAATATGATGACGAGCCAAGAGCGATAAAACATTTTCGATAATATCTGCATGATACTAAGAAGTGTATATCACGGGTTTTCAAAGCGATTACTTGACCTGTCGGGAATTCTCAGTATTGCAGCAAGATCGGGTTCAAGACGGCAAGTTAAAATAGCAATGGGTCTTATTACAAAATGACCCAACACCCATTCACTACTTAGTTACGCCTACCTCGACAGGCCGCAGATCAAGACCACGCGGACAGATCAGACCGCGCAATTAGAACAAGCCCACCGTTACATGTAACCCTACTATTAGTCTTACCTGCTTCGGAAGGCTGGACCCCGCGTCTGTGGTGCTTTGCGATGACTGTGGCTTGGACCCTGGTTGAGTCTGGCGTCATCATTGGTGGCTTTTGTTATGCTTATGTGCCATCGACAAACAAATTCCATCCACAGACTGATCAACCCTTCTAGCATCCCACAGCCCGAAACTGACCATGAGGAAGCTGCGGAATGGAAATACGCAGCAAAATCACAATTTTGGTTGAGAATGGGCAAGAATTATGGATTGCCCATCGCGACCTCTAGTGCCTATTTCCCATGTGAAATACGAATTTTGGTGAGCGTCGGACGCGGTCAGTTGAGATGCCTCAAGCGACCTTGATTATTATCCCTGGAATGGCAAAATTATGCCGTACGGTATGCTATGTGTAGGTATGCTGTGTCTACTACATATGTATGCGGAAGGCGAACCTACTTTCAGGGTTGCCTTCGATCATTGTGCCTTTTTCCACAAATGGGCAACTGTTCTTTAATGATGTACACGTGGAAACCGCACACACACACAGATCAAATAGTACAAGCGATAGGCTTCGTAGGATCTCGACTTAGCGCAGTATCTCCGGGTTTGTGGGGTAGACTCGGATGCGTCCCGGTGATAACCCCCTGCGTCGAGCTAAGCTTACCTTATGCCATATAAGGGTGTTCGGAAAAGGGAAGGCAAGTTATTTACAGGTAGACCCAGTCCAGAATACTTATTGATTCGTCTGAGAACACGTTGATGGTCCGTTACTGGTGGAATCCTGTGCGGGAAAACCTTTTCCTTCATTCATCAGATATGAGGCTGAAGATAGCGAATGGGCTAGGATATGCTTAGTTGGGTGGTATGTTCGATACTTGGGAGCAACAAGAGAAATTTTGACTATTGAATCATTGCTTTATCAAAACTATAATAGCTATAAGTACAGCGTTATATCCCTAAGTGAACCAAGATCACATCATCATCAAGCTTCACCCCTGATCTCCAGAGCCAAGACTTCCTAACGCCCTGCTCCCGGACAACGCCAAGATGCACCAATACTACCTTCTTGCTCTCCTTCCTGCGGCCTTGGGCTGCCTAAACACCGACACAAACGCCTGTGCCAGCTACATCAAGTCCAACGCCGCCGCGTCGACCTTCTGCGCCACCTTCACCAAGAGCACCGTTACTGCCACCACCGCTCTACCCGCCTGGGCTACCAATTGCTCACAGAAGCCGAGTCTAATCTCCGCTGAGTGTACTTGCGCCTACAGTGGTGCTGGTGGTAGCTCGCCGACTACAACGTTGAAGACTACTACTGCCGCAGGAGGCTCTACGCCCACCGGAGTTACTACCACTCTACCCAAGTCCACTGGAGCTACTTCTACCAGCAAGGCCATCACCGTCTCTGCTGGACAGTCTTATGATGGCGGCATGAAGAAGTTTGACCGCAGCCGTACGTTGTCAAGACGAGTAAAAGAATGATGGATGATCGAATACTGATTCCAGAGCAGCTAGGGTTTGCGCTGAGCAAGATGAGACAGGTGAAGCTGATGCCATGTTCGTGCTTGAGGCCGGTGCCACCCTCTCGAACGTCATTATTGGGCCCGATCAGGCAGAGGGTGTTCACTGCAAGGGAACTTGGTTTGTCGTTCCTCAATTCTGAAGGGAGTTTCGATGCTGATTGATTATAGCACACTGTATGGAAACCACCAGAAGAGAAGACATGGAGAACAGCAGACTGACAGTGTATAGTAACAACGTTTGGTGGGAAGACGTTTGCGAGGATGCTCTGTGAGTCTTTCTATATCAGTTGTGCATTCATTTCTTGTTGATAGCTTTCACTCCAGGACTTTGAAGCAGACCAGCGGAACCTCTTACGTCAACGGCGGTGGTGCCTTCAAGGCCGCGGACAAGATCGTCCAATTCAACGGCTTTGGAACTGTCTCGATTAAAAACTTCTACGCTAATGAGTGAGTCGAACTCATCGTCTTTTGCCGTGATGCAACCTGCTAAAACGCCCAAAGCTACGGAAAGGTCGTCCGAAGCTGTGGTAACTGCAGCGGTAATGGAGGTGCACGCAACATTGTCATGAACAACGTGATTGCAAAGGACGGTGGAGTCCTCTGCGGCATCAACACCAACTACGGCGATACCTGCAAGGTCACTAGCTGTTGCCAAGATGACAACAAGATTTGTGATAGGGTATGATGACTCTAAGCCTGACATCTCTTTGCATGTACAAGGAAGATTTACTTACTTTGGACTATAGTACACCGGAAATAACAGTGGTGCCGAGCCTACGAAGATTGGCAGTGGCCCTGACGGCACTTACTGCGTCGCCACAAGCTTCACCACGGCCTGTTGATCGTCTGTAATGATGACGACCAAACGATCTGTATAAGTTGGCTTGGTTCAAGCTGTTTATTGCTGGTTCGAAGCTGCAGGCTCGTAAGCAAGGGGTGGGAGGTTTGGAAGCTTCTGGCTCTTGGAACGTAGTAGCTTGCACTGTACATAACTGAATTGTACACTCAAATCCATTTATCTGTATCTTAGTTGTCGCTGAAGCAAAGAATTAAACGACTGGCGATGCGGCGAATATCTCGTTCGCCCTAGTGCACTTCAGTGACTCATTCCATCGCATGCCAACGATAAGTTATTCGGCGATTCGATTCAGGCCAAACACAAAGTTTTCAAGATCTTCTTACGCATCAGTACTCAGATTTGCGCCAGCCGGCAGATCCAAATTGTGTTTCTCGAGGTTTGATCGAGTCGAACAGAATCTCAATGCACCTGACATGCTTACTTAGTACTTTGTTAACGTTGGGTGACATGTTTCCCAGAAACATCTATAGTACCTGTGCTCTAGGTTCCAGACTTCACTCCTGTCGAAAGCTAGTAAACGGTAGAGTAATATGCACTCAACGTTGAGGTTACATATCGTATATAGCCTCTTGGCAAGACCACCTTGCGACTCTGCTCCATCCCAATCTGCCCCAGTCACCTCGGCCAACTTCTGCGCCTGGGCTTCTTATTTGAAGTCTGGGTTCATCTCTTTGAATCCAGTCCAAATCGGTAGCTTCTTTATCAAAATGACGAAATGCGGAGCCTGCAAACCAAAGACCTGTGTTCCCGATCATCGCCTACGGGCTCTGCGGGCTACGAGCACTCCCAGGCGTTTAGGAAAAGGTAAGGAATTCTGCGGCAACTTTACCAAGACGGTCATCGCGAACGTGTCTGCGGTTCCGAGCTATACTAGGGGGACTTGTGCAACAAAAATCATCTCAAAAGTTGGCTTAGCATATTCTTGCTTGCCCACGACGACGGAAACCGAGCTTAGATAGCGTAGCTCAAAGTCCTCGTCCTATATTACAGGCAAAAGAACTCGGATGATCCAGTTGAATTGAGGAGAACTGAGTGCGGTGTCCCCAGAGCTGGCGATATCTCATTTTTGTTCCGCAGACTCCATATATAATTCAAGATAGGACATCGCGTCCAATCTAAATATCGCCTCACCGAGATAAGTTGGCCTTGAGCAAGGGTCATCCATGCTCAACTCGACGGCTCTCAATGAGAATCAAGGTACAAACAAGCTGATCCAGGGAGCTTTGTCCTGCTTTTGTTCTACTTAAACACTAAACGATGGCGAGAAGTATTACTCATCTCGACAGCAGGTCATTTTTGTCGACTGTTATCGGGGTCTTAGAATTATTGTAGCGCAAAGTTATCATCTCTTCGGAGAGGACCGGACACTAGAAGCAAGCTTTCAGTCAGGATCCACCGGTTGCAGATCCACAATGACAAAGCCGGTCCCGGCGCCCGTCCCAAAAATTGTATCCGTAATCCGAATCTTTCATTCCCGTTTCTTTCGGTTTTCGAACCAAAACCGACTGAGCAAATAACATCGGAAAACATGCGCTCCAGTCTCTCCTGCGAATTCTGCCGGTATGTCCCCCATTGGTCTCCGGCATCGCTTCCGGCGATCGATCGGATCCGATGTAACGGCCGCTGACCCAGTTTTTATGACCCCGCAGACGGTCCAAGATCAAGTGCGTCAACAGCGGAAGTCCGCCGTGTACCAAATGCGAGAAGTCGGGAAGATCGGACTGTGTACTGACCAGACCCCACGTCGCGCCGAATGGACGGGCGGCTAAGCGGGCGCGGCGAGCAACGGAAGAGGCTTCATCTGTATCCCATGATCAGGACATTGGGTCTCAGCGACAACTTCTCTCTGCGCCCCATTCACGGGGCCCGGCGACGCCGTCGTCGGGATTGGAGTATCGAGATGGCAGGCAGGAAATGGACCACCATCTCGAGCAAATCCCCAAAGATGTTGTCTACATCGCTCTCGAGGCCTTCTGGCGCAAGTTCCCTGAGCTTCGCGTTATTCACCCCTCATCTTTCATGAAATCGTTTGGGTCCAATTGCCCTAGAGAAAGTAAGGCGTTGTTGGCCACAGTTCTTGCAATGACCAAGACCCAGAAGCCGGATTCGGATCGTCTGCGATCGCAGATCCTCTTTCCGAGCGAAAGATATGCATCATATGCATGTGATGTCCTAGCAGCATGCATACTCCAGCCACCAGATGTCAAAGTCATCCAGGCCCTCCTTATTCTTACGTTGTATGAATGGGGCACGCGAGATTTCCACAAGGCCTGGATGCATTGTGGTAGGCCAACTTCCAAAGTCTTGCGTCGAATGTGTCTGACATCAAACAGGAATTGCAATTCGGATGATGCAATTACTTCATAGTTCGCGAGTAGCGCCCTTTCCACTTGAGATTCCACAACGCAGCGAGCAAAACAGCCTCACTCCCGCAATCGAGACAAGGACATTCTGGGCATGTTTCATTATGGACTGCATGGTGAGCTCGGGAACATACAACCCACGGGTGCTTCCCAAACAGGAGATGGCAAAGCTGAATGTGCCGCGGCCGCCTACTTCTACCGAGTTTGCTTTAGGACCAGGATCGTCAGCGCAAGCTGAAGGTGCGGGGGAAAATTTCACATCGAGTGGAACCGCAACTTCGGTGTATCTTGATTTGGACCAGAGTTTTGGGGTCATGGCTGATGGGTTCGACATCTACTCTGATGTCATGGCTTTTGTGTTCAACGACGGGCGTAAAGCGCCAGGCATGTGCTTACCCGAGAACTGCCCCTGGGTTCCTACATCACCCGTGGCATGTTGGCGTCGGAGACTGGAGGAATGGAGAACGAAGCAGCACCATCGATTACACTATCCGGCCAACAGCGTTGCTGCATACGCTACACTAGGCTATGGTGAATCCTTCGTCTATCTAAATCTACTTTATTACCAAAGGTTTGCCGAAGCTTCCCCCCATGTGCAGGGACTTCACTGGGCTAACACGAAATTTCCGTAGTGTTGTCATGCTTCAGCGAGAATACTTTCCGTTCCTACCGACTATTGACATGACTCCTCGTGGACCCATAGATCCCCCTACTCTTGAAGCTGAGGCTCCCCCGGGCTGGTGGGAACAAAGTGCAAAAGAGCTATTCGAAGCAGCAGGCCACCTGTCCAGCGTTCTTCGAGAAGCTTCAGAATGTGGCGTTGCAGTCATGACGCCCTTCGCTGGGTTCTGTGCGTTCTCATCTTGCTACATCAATCTATATGGATTCATGTTCCCGAGAATTGGCGTTGGCTATGCTACCAGGGCGGAAGAGTACATGAATTGGAGTATAGAGTATCTCAACAAGTTTCGCGAAGTCTGGGACCTCGGGGACGGATGGGTGAGTCATTGATGCCATTGGAGACGTAGTCCCGGTGGAACACCGCTATTTTACTTATGACTGACGCGTAACAGCTCAAGACCATCCAGAACGGGTCGTTGATGTACCAACGAGCCACGTCTGACGCCCAGAAATATCGCGGACGATCTCGCTTTGACTTCAGTGTCTTACATCAGTCTGTTCATGAATTTCGGGTAGTCGATAGATCTGCTCAACATTTAGAGGAAATCAATAACGCTGAGCGGGGCGCCGTCAGCACCGGCGAGGGCAGCAATGTGTCAGGCGACAAGGCGAATCAGAATATCGGCGGGTTAAACCCACAAGCGTTGATAGACGCTGTTGGCAGTATGGATGATCAAGGGCTTTGGCCGAATTGGTGGTCAATGCTGGAAGATGTCGATGCTTCAGAGATGTTCACGATGGGCTAGCCGCATTGGACAAAGGCTTTGAGTGGTGGGTACTTTTCAAGAATGGGTATTATTGAACTAACTATGTACAAAAGTCCGAAGTCGAACTGCCCTGGCAAATGCGTCACGCTCAGCATCAGCATGTCCCTGGTCATGGCCGCTTTTCAAAGAATTTCCGCTTCAATCTCCTCCAGTGCTTCCCTGAAAACACTGCAAATCTTACGTAGCTCCTCCTCTGTTGTCGTGAACGGGGGAGCAAGTAGGACGTGATCTCCTCTCGAGCCATCCACCGTGCCAGCGCCGGGGTAGAGAGCGACGCCCTTCTCAAAGGCCCGCTCTTGAACTCGTAATCCAAATCGCAGCTTGGGATCAAAGGTATCCTTTGTCTCCCTGTCCTTGACAAATTCGACAGCCCAGAACAAACCTCTTCCCCTGATGTCACCGAATGATTTGCACTTGATGAGCTCAGTGCGCAGTAGCACTTCAAGCTGCTTCCCTAACTGAGCGCAGCGAGCGACGAGGTCGTCCCGCTTCACGATCCTTTGAACAGCCAACGCAGCTGCGCAGGCAATGGGATGGGCTTGGTAAGTGTGTCCGTGGTTGAAGGCGTTGGATCCCTGTCTCAGCATGGACACGACCTTCTCGTGCATCAGAACGCCGGCAATGGGGCCGTAACCTCCGCCGAGACCCTTGGCGACTGTGACGATATCGGGAACAATGCCCTCTTGCTCAAAAGCGAAGTAAGTTCCAGTGCGTCCGGTGCCGCACATGACTTCGTCGAGAATGAGAAGAGCGCCATGCTTGTCGCAAATTCGACGAGCACCAGCGATGTAGCCGACAGGGGGTGCCACGCAGCCTGCGGTAGCGCCCACCATAGTCTCGGCAACAAAGGCAATGACATTGTTTGGGCCAATCCTTTGGAACTCGTCCTCGATCTCGGCAAGTAGCCTATCCGTAAATTCATCCTCGGTCTCATCTGCTCTCTGGTATTGGTACGGATATGCTGGTGAAACATATGAGACGTGGGGGTAGGAGAAGCCCTCGTATGGGACCTTTCTCGATGCGACTGTTGAAATCGACATGGTCGCCATAGTGTTGCCGTGGTACGCTTGTTTTCTGCCAATAAAGTGCTTCCTCTGCGGCTGACCATTTTCGAAATGGTACTGACGGGCCAATTTTAGCGCCGATTCGACGGCTTCACTTCCGCTGCAGACGAAGAAGGCCTTGTCGAGACCATGCGGATTGCCATCGAGGATAAGGTCGGCAAGTTCCTCAGCCGGCTGTGTCGTATAGGCTTGCGTGTGGACGTAGCTCACTTTTCGGGCTTGGTCCGAGATAGCTTGAATGACTTCCTCGTTGGCATGGCCAATCAAGGCTACAGCAGCACCACCGCATGCATCGATGACTCTCTTGCCGTTGGCGAGGTTTAGGTAGATACCACTTGCTGATTCGACCATGGAGGGGTGCTGGATTAAAGATCGGTGCATAAGACGACCTTCTCCACCCTTGGTCTTGGTATTCTTGACTGTGTGGGGTTCGGCGTTGACTGCTGTGAACAGCTCGTCGTCTCTTGCGGGAGCCATGGCGAGGGATGTGGACTGTAGAATAATAACTTGAGGTGAGATGAATGTGTAAGTTCTCTATGTGGTTTCTGTTCCCCGAAACAAAGTGGGAGAAAAGAGACAACCGGCACTTTAACTCTCCTAAATAGACCTTCGTTATTCGGCGCTAGTGCTGAAATCCGAGAATCATCGGGATCGACAAGCCAGCGGCTCCGTGTTCACGGAGCCCAACCGGCCCTTCCAACGGTGGGCCCGCGTCAAAATCATCGGAGGAATTACAATAGAGAATCCACTTTGGACATCTCCATAAAATCTGCAGACGATGATAACCGCATTATCGCGAGAAATTCTGATTTCGGTTCTGACGTAAACCCGATAGCCGAAAGCCGACTTACAACATTCGATTTTCTCACTCAGACTCGAGAATATGATAAGCTCGAAGCCTCTCAGGGAGGAGGCTGAAACTTTCAGTTCGAAGAGAGTATGCTTCTGACAGCTTCTGCCGAATCCATTTGAGTTTCGCCAAGATGGACAACGAAAAAGGCACCTACCCCGAGCGACAAGTCGTCCAAAGACAAGATGGGCACGATACCGACCACTCAAGTGACGACCAAGCCGTAAGTTCAACTCCCAAAGTGGAGCAGCAGACTTACGATGACCGGAAAGCTTGGGTCACGGTTGCTGCATCGTCACTTACCATGTTTGTCTACCTCGGAGTGATCTACTCATGGGGCATCATGCAAGTCAAGCTCGTCGAGACGACGGGTTCTAGTCTAACAACCTTGACATTTGTCGGATCAATGGCGACATCTTTCATGATTTGTTTCAGTATTGTTTCCGACAAGATCATCAATAGGATAGGATATCGGCTGGCTGCGTTGATTGGTGGTTTCTTCATGGGTTTGGGTGAAGTTCTCGCAAGCTTTACTACATACCATGTTGTGGCTTTGTTCTTTCTACATGGTCTCGTCTTCGGCCTTGGTGGTGGCCTTTGTGTCTTTGTGAGTGCAACAAGACTCCTGCTGGGTCTGCAAATGTCCTACTGGCGCAAACCATAACAGCTAATGTCATTCCTTACCAGTCTGTCTCGACTGCCCCGATGGGTCTCTTCAAGAAGCATAAAGCATTGGCCATGGGGTTTGTCTTCGGTGGGGGCAGCTTGGGCTCTGCCATCATGAGTGTTGTAGCCAACTACCTTGTCAAAGACCTGGGCGTCTCTTGGACGTTCCGCATTCTGGGTTTCATTCTGTGGGGTGTTTCTATCCCTGCATCCTACTTCTTGCCAAGGAGGATGGCTTCGGGAAAGAAAGCCTCCCGTCAGCTACAGTGGTCAGTAGATGGAAACAGCGACAACTTGAACATGGCTGACATGTCTTAGGTATCGCTTTAAGGAACCTCGCTTCCTCCTGCTCGTCGGCGGCACTGTACTTTCCTGCTTCCCGCTCTTCATCCCGCCCTACTTCATTCCGATTTTCTCGAGATCAATGGGCTATACTAAGGAAATCGGTATCATTATGCTTGCCTGCTGGAACTTAGCTTCTACCTTGGGCCGTGTTGTCGCTGGATGGGTTGCCGATACTCTTTTGGGACCAGTCGAAAGTCTAGCAATCTGCATGCTCTTCATGGCTCTGAGCTCCCTCATCGTCTGGCCTCTTTCATCATCAATCGGCATCTTTTCCGTCTACCTCGTATTGAACGGTATCGGATGTGGTGCGTTCTTCAGTCTCACGCCTATCGCAGTGAGCGCCACATTTGGAGGAGAAAACACCCTCAGCATCATCCCCGTCGTCTGGACGACTTGGTTCTGCGGTTTCTTTTTTGTAAGTCATAATATGCCGTGCACTACTTAAACTTTTGCTTATCAAGTTAGGGTACTCCCATTGCTTCAGGACTTTACTCCATCTCTAGTGATGTTGATGGTCTTGAGAAGTTTCGCCCTGCCGCATATTATGCCGGAGCAATGGCGTTAGCGGGATTTGCATGTGTTTCGGGGATCAGATTTGCGCGGAGGACGGAGAAGACCGAGAGGTCTTGATGACAGGATTCATCAGATGACCTGGTGGGTAAATGAACAGCATATTTCTGTCGAAAGTGCACCGAATAACGGCCGATTACTAAGTTAGAAGTTGACACTAGCACGCATGATACCACAGATAGATCATAGAGAGTAAGTAGAGCATAGAGACTGCTCAGATGGAGGGCTACGAGCACTCAGCATCAGCATTAATATGAATGATGATATTCACTGATACCTCCAGCCTGGATCATCGTCACTTCCCAAAAGTCGCACGCGAAGCACAATGCGAGTCTTTGGTGACCAGACTGGCATGCCTGATCAAACCAACCAAGAGACTGGACCAACGAATGCTCACGATGATTTCGTTGAAAGCCATGCAATGGGCGTCAAAATCAATCGTTCAAATCAGGCGTGACGATGGCCATTCAAAAGCGCATCAGAGTCTTTGGTAATTGGGGGAGCGTTTATTGGCGGGACTTCGCATATGCGATGATACTACTTAGCGATGCGGGGAAGTAGCTTCGTGTTACTGGTGGGTTTAATCACTGATATTGGATTACTTGGCACAATGTGACACTAAACACCCCTCAAATTGATAACCCTTCGCAAATCTCCAAACGACCATCCATGGATTGGGATGATCACCATATGGCTTTATCGAAGAACGTTATTTCCATGAACCACGACGTCGCATTTCCTCGTACCCCGCTATGTCTGTGACTTGTGCCTCTAATGTGGAAATGTTTTTACGTCCAAGACCGAGTTTCGGGCTAAAGTAAAAGACTCCGTAGATTCTGATCTGATATGCTGTAGGCGTTTTCAATGACAGATGAGCTGAATGATCTTCCGGAAGATACCTGGAGTTGATGCTCACGTGTTCAAGAAACCGCTTTCCGTGCCTTGGAACGGTAGACATCTAGCTTGTAAATATAAGCTGGATACATGCATCGATTTGAATCTAAATTCAGACCAGTGCATGTCTCAATCGATTCCTGGCACATCAAAGCTACTTCTTTACACAGCAGCATTTCTCCCTCTTTTCGTGGAGCTGAAACAAAACCATGAAACTCTCATCCATAGTGGTGCTTATCCAATGCTTTGTCGCTGCCCGGGGTGCTGTCACTGAGAGACAATCCAGTGGCTGTCTCGCTTCTGCTACTGGATTTGCTTCTCTGAACGGGGGCACAACTGGCGGCGCAGGCGGAACGGAGGTGACAGTAACTACTCAAGCTGATCTCGAGAAGTATGCCAGCGCATCAGGCAAATACGTGATTAAGATCAGCGGTCGTATCACCATCAGCCCTCTCGGCAAGGAAATCAAGATTGCCAGTGATAAGACCGTCATCGGATTGGGCACCACTGGCGAGCTTTATCAAGGTGAATTCTTAACATGTCCTTCCATTCAACACGTTATATACTAAGGCGGCTCCAAAAGGTGGTTTGGGCTTGAACGGGGTCAGGAACATCATCATTCGCAACCTCAAGATAGGTCACACCAACCTTAACGATGGCGTGGAAAACGACCGTGACGGTGTTCAAGCCGACACCGTGAGCAATATCTGGATCGACCACTGCCTTTTCGAAGATGGCGGTGACGGCTTAGTTGATCTTCGGAAGGACACCACCTACTTCACCGTCTCCAACAACATCTTCCGTAACCACGACAAGACTTTCGGCATTGGCTGGACCGAGAATGTCACGGCTCGTGGAACCATCAACCACAACTGGTTTGACAACACAAATCAAAGAAACCCGAGCGCCGACAACTTGGCACAAGTGCATCTCTACAACAACTATCTCTACGGCGTCACTTCATACGGGCACTACGCTCGCGGCAGCACCAACGCACGTATCGAGAATGTCTTCTTCGAGAACACCAAGAACCCCTTGACCAAAGACTCGGGTGCCGTACTCAATGCCTCTGGTAATACGTATAAAAGCTGCACTGGCACTACGGCTGCAAACTCAGGAACCTCCTTTGACCCCAAGAGTCTCTATTCGTACACCTTGACTGCTACTGCGGATGTTCCTGCCTATATCAAGGCCAATGCTGGTCCAAGAGCTTCTGTCTGCTCCTGAGTTGAGAGGATCACAGTCATAGTGATATATCAAGAATCCTAAGAACATGCCCAGTGTGCTATAAGTTGCAGTCTTATTATCTGAGTTCTCGAGATGAATCTCGTTGTCGTATCACACCTACATCCCCATGAACGGCCCAATGTCTCATTTCTCTCAGTCATCGAAGCAGATCAAGTGATCTTGTACTAGGATAAAAATGGTTTAAAAGCGTTCGCGAGCCAAAAGCTTGCTTCCCCTAGCCTTTGAGACCGATGCTCGCCTACGTCTATACCCTCCCCAATCTGTGCGCTCAAACCAGCCACTTTCCATCTCCCTTGAGCTTCATCTTCGACTTTTCCCAGTGACCTGCGTCAAACTTCCACGCCCAAACCTCCTGATTGGCATCGTAGCTAGCTTTGTGGCGTGACTGGAACTGACCGAGGCCGGCAGCACGCATAAGTGACCTCCATGGCTGGTTGTCATCACCCGTTTCAATCCTGAACACCTCACAGCTCAGTTCGGTTCGAGCATGTTCAATCAACGCCTCGAGGATCTCGAGACCATAGCCTTGACGCCAATGTCGGTGATCGATGTTGATGCCGAGGTCCGTCATGCGCCTATCTCCCGACGAAAGTGTGGTCTTGCCGGCGAGAAATCTAGTGGGGTCCACGGTCTCGAAGGTGTTGTAACCACCATTGCCGATCAACTCGTTGGTCTCACGGAGGATGATGACAACCCAGCCGTTCTTTCCATCTTTCGTGAAATCGACAAACTTGTCGATGCGGGTGCGAATTCTCTCTATAGTCAGGTTCTGTTCCGACTCTTGGAAAGGAAAGTTGTCGGGCGTCTGGAGAAAATTGAGTAAATTTTCCGCATCTGACTGAACAGCTGTGCGGATGACCATCCGCGGAGTTCCGATCTCGAGGACGGAACCATGTCGTGATGAGTCCTGTAGCGCCATGCTGGAATCGAATTCGTAGATTTCGATGCGACAGCTAGGAATGCAATTCGGTGCTGTGCCGAGATAATCGATCAGACTTAAACAGCCTACAGTATTGATTTTAGTTGGTCACCAATACAGCGACGATGGACCAGCGGCCGGTTGGGAGACTCAGCGCTGCTTTATATCTGTAAGATGGGGTCCAGCCGAGGGTCCAACAGATTCAGAACCTAGGAAAAGGACTTGAATCCCTGTGACATTGTTGGCTGACAAAACATAATGGAATCCCTGCGCTCGACAGCCCAAAAGACCTCGAGGACCTTCCTTTTGAGGAAATCGCAACTCCCGACTTTCCGCGACAGCCTTAGACTACATCCAGAAAGCGTTCAGGCCCCACAAGCATGATCGCCTCACACGGAGCGCGACTTGCGGCACAGCAAATGAGTTCGATGTATGCAATTCAGACCATGACGCTATTCACACCTGCCTTACCACTAATGGCAATGCATCACTGCCTGGCCGCATATGACGCGCGCTGAGACGGTCAATCTGTCAAGGTGAGGCTGAAAACATAGCTGGGATGCACGTATAATGCGCGGATCACATCATTCCTACCAGAAAGTGCTTGCTTCGGCCGCCGCCAAATCATGTTGTCGAAATAGCTAGAATGGGGACGCGGCATCGTCTAAAAGGGCGACATGTATCTTGAACACTAGTCGGCCACTCTACCCCTCAAATTTTGATCAAATTCTTCACAAGACACAATACGTGCGGAGGCCACTCCTCTCCGAGTCAAGTACTGCAGTCTTCTGCTGCTGGTACTCGGCGTCTTGGGTGCTTGTTTTGCAAGATGACAACGTTGGTCCAGATGGTGAAAAGCGGCATAACTCGTTTCCAGATCCCATCTCATCAGTAAGTACATGAGCATTGGGCAAAGAGTCGACCGAAGACACTATCGAGACCAGAGAGGATTTGGAAGCATGGGAAAGTCCGTTTTCTCTATATCATCTTCATAATTGCCTTAGCCATCCTTACCAGATATGCTTCTCTACCTTTGCATCAACAAACACTCTACTGGGAAGAACCCGTGAGATCGGAGCTTCACTGTGGGTATATGATTAATATGTCCTTTCCACACATTGAGAGCAACGAGCTCCTGCAAGATCACATCACTGAGGTAAAAGCAGTGAAGAACGAACCGAGAATATCCGACTTAGACAAAGACTACGCCATGCCACCTTCTGCTAGTGTCAATAATGCGTGGTCTTCTCTGCTTCCGAAAGAAGGCGGGTTCTTCGAACACCCTGCTATCATATCTAGTGCTAGTTGGTTTTGCTGTGTTCCATCATCTCCACTGCCTCGATGTGTTGCGCCTAGCACTGTACGAGCTTTACCCAGACACCAAAGGCTATCAGCTAATACTTCTCATTTCACGTCCCATCTGAATCACGATGGCGCACATTCCACCATGGATGCCGACTTATCCTATGACATATTCAATGTTGGCCACTGTTCTGACCTATTACGTCAAGCTATCTTGTGCCGCCCCGCGAGTATACCCTAAACCCTTTATTAGATACTTTTAAATCCTTTGAATATTATAGGAGTCCAGGACTGACCCTTCTCCACGTACAAGATTTGATGACCGAAAATTTAGAGCCCAATTCTGGCGGAGGTACCGGCTTTGGGACTGAGCACCGATGTGTTAAGTGGCAAGAACTGATGGATGGTGATGAACCAATTACACTGAGATTTTGAAACTGAAACAATTGAACGATGGTTCTGGAAAATATCCAGTGTTACACAATTCATATGGCAAGCTTCCTGGAGGACAAGATACGCACCCAGGCATTGAGAGAAAAGTCTGTTTGATGCTGCTTTCTTCCATTCCTGAGGTTAGCTGAAAAAAGACGTCTTGATATGGGCAAGACCGGAGTGCTGCGAGTTTAGCTCCTTCTAAGCACGAGCTTTGCTTTTCCCGAGCCTGCCTTACAGGTCGATTTTGCTTCCATCCTGTTTTTTGACTTGGAATACTTGACCTCTGTCTCAAAAACAACGGTTAGTAAATGTTTGGAATCAAGGAAGTGTTGTTTGTACTCAGTGACACGTGTATGCATGGTGGTAAATCTAGCGCGCCTGAAACAAAATTTCCCTGATCTTAGGCTAGTGCATCTTCCTGATTGTTAAAACGGCAATTTCTAATGTTCGAGAGTGACATCACAGAAAACCAGGCAAGTAGTGGAGTGATTTGCACTGCACTGACTGATTTATCTGAAAACACAAGATGAAATTGATGAGGCTTTCCTTTGCGTGTGCTACTGAATCTTTTCAATGAGTTGTACATATTGACAAGGGCCACTATGCTGAATATGCCAATCGTGAGTTATGTATGCTGCCCTTGCTCATTTACACCGTCACAAGCATCGAGAGGAGAGCATAATGACTCGAGGTAGGGAGCCTGAGAAGGCTCAAAGTGGAACGCAAGATGTAGCACATTGCCATCGGCTTAGTTCAGTTTGTCGTCCAGGGTCATTCCTACATAAAGGTTTCCAGTTGACTCTATGCCACAGAGACCTTTCTGAGAAACGTTCGATTTAGGTTTAATGAGCCCAGAGCGTACATTGTGAGCGGGAATACTACAGCGCGGCCGGGACTAGCTTCGGAGAAATTGCACGCGGCGGGGAACGATGAGAGGGATGGTTGCATGCCGGCGGAGAATTTTAGTCCACCTATTTCCGTGTCCCCGAGCCCCGCGAAAGATAGTATGAGACCATTAGTTTAAAGGAGCTTCGACCGCGTGGTCAGTTTGGGAACGATTGGCGGTCATGAGTGACTGACTTTCATGCAGCCAAGGATTTCATCTTGAGAACTTGTTTAATGATCACGCGCAGTGACGATACTTCCAGCTAGGTTAATAGTAAGGTTTATAAAACATGGAAGCTCCAAAACCTTTGCCACATCCATATGTTCCTGAACATGAAAACCGCAGAGAATCATAGATTATCGCTGACAGGCTTGCATCAACATGAAGATTTTGAACGTCCTCTCCACCTTGGCGGTTATAGTAGGCAATACCTTTGCGGCTTCGCGAACATCGCCGCCATCCGGCGCAATCGTTGTTGCGAAATCGGGTGGCCAATACACCACGGTGAGTAAATTCCGTGCAAAACCACGGCGCTACGGTTCCTAGGGTCTTACATGGGGATCTGATGTGATGTCACTTCGCTGATGTATACCAAAGCTTCAAGCAGCTATAAACTCCATTTCAGCCAGCTCCACCGCGACTACCACAATCTTCATCCAGCCGGGCACTTACTCTGGACAAGTTTCCATTCCCAGCCTGAGTGGAAAGCTAGTCATCTACGCATACACTACCAACGACCAAGACTACACCAAGAACCAAGTCATCTTGACCAATACTCTATCAGCTGCGGATGCTGGAAGTAACGACTTATCCGCAACACTGAGAGTTGCGACTAGCTACTTCAGTCTGTACAACGTCAACCTGATCAATGGCTATGGAAAGGGCTCTCAAGCTCTAGCCATCTCTGCAAATGGCCAGTACCAAGCGTACTACGGCTGCAGCTTCGTCGGCTATCAGGACACGATCTATACCAACAAGCCACACCAAGTCTACAAGAACAGCTATATTGAGGGTGCGACTGACTTCATCTTCGGCAACGATGGCAACGCTTGGTTCGAGAAGTGCACGATCGCTATCAACGGTGCCGGATACATCACTGCGAGTGGTCGCGACAGTGCCGACAGCTACTGGTACGTGATCAACAAGGCCACAATCGCAGCAAAGTCAGGTGCTGGTGTGGCCAAAGAGTCTACGGTGCTGGGCAGGCCGTGGAGGGAATACGCGCGCGTTGTCGTCCAAAACTCACAACTCAGCGATGTCGTCAAGCCTGTTGGATGGTCTGCTTGGGGCACTAACCCCACTGCCAACGTTTACTATGCGGAATATGGCAACACTGGAACTGGTGCCAGCGGCACGCGGGTGAGCTGGGCCAAGAAGCTGTCAAGCGCGGTTTCCATTGACACGATTCTTCCGGGCTGGGCTTCTTGGGTTGACACAACTTATTGGAACTCGTCTTGAAGTTTGCTTCCTATAGCAGACGTAGCTCGTCAGGGGAAGATCTTTTTCGAGAAACAACCCAGAAAATCGAGACTTCTCCAATAATCCATTTCTTCATTCCTGATGAAACCTTTCGTTTCTGTCTGGTATATCATCACCCTTAGTCCCTTCATTGACTTATGTTTTGTATTGGTCGATGGTTGCTCCGGAGCATTGACGCTGGCGATTTTGGACTTCCTAAAGCTGGCGACTCGACATCGTGATCCGGTCTGGTACCGATTTGTCCTAAATTGTCGTTGATATCATTTATCAAGCCTGCATCGTCGATATCTCGCATTTGTGATGTTAGCTGATCGTTCTGTCGAGAAAGCTCGGAAAGATCAGTGCGATTGCAAGAACTTTTAGGGATTTGAGTTGCTGATCGGAAAGGCCAAATTTTCCAATCATAAGACAAGTACGGCCGCAGGGGCGGTAAACAAGCAATGATCAAACCGACTTGCAAGTCAATAGCACTCCATAACTCTGTCAGGTCGGTGTTAGCAACATGGTCCGTGCAAAGAGGTAAGATGCTGTACTGGACATCAGATTAGAACGAGTTTCGACTCACCAATGAGTGTGAAGGAGCGAAAAGATGTTACAGACACCTGAATACCTAGAAACCGTGCCAGGCTGACTGCTAAGTTGATGGCTCCCAGAAAGAATGTGCAGTAAACACTGATTTTGACACTTTTCTGAAGTTGCAGTCGGTACAATACTAAGAATGGCAGACAGAAAACTTTGAGATGTGTGAGAAGTCCGGATGCTCTTTTACCTTATGTCATAGACACAGTGATGGGAAACTTACTCATCAGATCTGCGGCAAAGTTCAATGCCCAAGCGATTTGGAATACTTGAGCGAACACTATTGGGGAACATGCGACTGCCGGATCTTGGGACCTTGAAGAGAATTTAGTTGGAGGCAAGGTTTCCATGATCAAACGGATTAGCCTTACCAGTTTCCTCGCAGAGGCCTACAAATGAGAAGTAGGGTGAGCATGTTGGTACTATACGCACAGCCACAATACACCATGGTTCCCCAGAGAATCTTGCGCCTAGTTTCCATGAAGATCGGGAAAAATCGAGCATATAGACTCAGGAGTGTTGCCTTGCAGAGATAGAAGGCTGTGAAGAATGGAAACTGGCCACTCCATTGCAACTGCATAGAGTGGTTATTAAACTGACTTACAATAACAAGACACCCTTGCATCTCTCCAGAACCGAGAATCTTACTTCTCGGAAGTCAAGGATGCTTACCTTCCACACAAGTTCTAGGTCCTCGGGTGTCCCATCATACCCCTCTAGGGTATAGGCAACGTGGGAACGCAATACCCCCAACTTATGGAACACAACATCGTATGAAGCGGATGCTACAGTAAAGAGCCAGGCAACACAAACAAGAATGTCGCTCGTGATAAGGGGAAGGTTCTGAATGACTAATCGCAGGTATATTCGGGCGCCGATCAGAATAGCCGCGATTCCTATCAATGTGAATTCGGTTCCCTAACTATGTTAGCCTGACTAAGAGTTTGATCTGAAAGACTGCGTAGAAGCTAGTATTCTGCGGGGAAAGATAACACAAAATGAGTTGTGAAGTTTCTGGAGGCATCGTGACGTACAATGACCGCACCTGCGGATGGCCCATTCACGTCCATGATGAAGGAATTCGCGATACTTCCAATTCGAAAAACCAGACGTATCAAGGCCGATCATAGGAGAAGAATTTAGGCCAAATCCCTCGAAATTCCCCACTGACGGAATCTGCGCTTTATTATGTTTAGATGGAAATTGTACTTCAGCTCTCCAGATGGCTTTTGCCTAGCTAGACGCCTGCAAACAGTTAGAGCGCCGCCACAAGGGGTCGGGGCACGTCCACATCGACAGCCACATCTAAGCGCGATCGAGTAGTGACCTACCAACAATCTGAAAACGGAAAACTTGGTTCCTTTGTTCGCTTCGGTTTCGCTTCTTAACGTGATTATCTGTCCAACTTTTTGATGAAGCGCCGGGCTCGGCAAGACTACTTGACCTAAGATACGGGTTAGAAGCAAGCTAGCAATGTCTAGCGGACCCGAGTATTTGGACTTCATCGAGGTTATGACCACCGTTTGAACTCTCATCGTGATCTTGTAGGCCAGTGGTAATACTTTGAATCGCACTTCGGGTGCTTCCGCAGCACTAGGTATCACTCGACCCAACGACCCTCTGAAACTTCAGAAGAGCCTCTTTACTCTTCGTTGGAAGGCATAATCACTGCAGATTCCCATCTCCCAATAGGTAGTGAACTCGTGAGTGGTCTTGGTCAAATCAATACTCATTATATGCAAACAATAGCCTGACAAGTGACGATTGATCTGATATGAGTAGACCTTCCGGCATATTCGATCTCGAAAATTCTATGTGATGAAGCTTCTTAGGTGTGGATGAACTGAGATCGATCCTAATGAAATACACAGGCCCCACATGAATGCTATGTGTACAATTGATTAACTTATTTTCAGGATACTCGTCGTGAATTCAATATTGCCACGTGGATGTATCTACAGTGGCCCTTATTCCTTAAGTCCGATACCATAGTGGAATAGGCCAGATTACACTCAAAGTCAGGACTATCGCCATTCTATAATGAGTGCTACTACAATACAGGAGACTTGGACGTACTACTATAACCTCACCACACATCGTCTTACCTTATCCGCGGCGGCGACATAACGCGACAGTTGACCAGACCCGGTCTTTCTCCCTCAGTCTTAGCGTCTCTTCGTCTGTTCACATACTTTCCACATCAGTGCCTGGTACGGTTGCCGCCGAGCTTTGATAGTCCTCTTCCTCCACACTCTATTCCACTTGTCAATAATTCTCACTACGTCTGCCACCCTCTTCGCACTGAAGATCGAAAATCAAGTCGCCAAATGTCATCTCAACTATTGTGATTCATGTCGCGCAAGGCAATTCACATACTTGTGCTACTGAGTGCAACTCATTGAGATATAAGCATGGCTGAGCTGTATGCTTGACCCATGGATAATGAACCAGACCATATATGCATCGTCACTAAAATGCTCTCAACACTTTTTCTCCTAGTTTCTCACTCGGATACCTATGTTTGCAGTGACCCAGGCCCACAGTCTTCGATCTTCACCACGCGACGATATAATCGTCATCGTGTCTTTCAGTGTTGTGGTTTAGCTGTGCCTTGCCCCTTCATACCAGCGCTTCTCGAATCACACGCCGCGCGGCATCACACTTATTGACTGATTGGTCCCCGCAAATCAGGGTTCTATTGTGCTCTTAGAAAGCGCAGTCGGCTACTGCGAAAGGGTTAAGCAAGTTCCATTTGGTTCAGCTCAGTCGTCGGCGGCTGGCTGAATTCAGCTGAGCTGCAAGGTATGTGAGTGGGGACGGGAAGGGCCAGAACCGCGGGGCCGTGGGCGGGCCGAGAAGCTACCTATTTGAGCTACGCCTCATCCACATATGGTCGTGACCGCAGCTCTACCCCTGCAATGTTAGTGAAATGCCGTCAAATGATGGGCACGAAACCCTCTCTATCACGTTGGTCACTATTTCACTACAGGCAGCCACACGGGTTCCCTCAAGAACGCTTTTCAGACCCTTGACGAATGAGAGTTGGCTGTGGCAGCGGAAAAGCAATGTGGAAGAATTCGGAACTACGTCTGAGTGTGATCTATGGACTCAGTTTGGGGAAAAGCCGTGATATGCAACCGCCTCAAAAGTTCTGGACTTGCCTGTTCCAGCGAAAATATCCCAAATAAGGCGACGAGCAATGTGCCTTGCATACCCGCTTCTAACCAGCGCTTGGGATGACGCCTCGGATCACATATTCCGAACTGACATTGAGGTCAGCCAGCCTCTTGGGCTTTCCTGGCAGAGGGAGAAATTTTCAGCGCGGATGCCGATGGTATGGCATATGCGTACATGATGATTATACGTTGTATACATGCATAGTGCTGAGGTATTCAGGCAGCAGTAAGTCAGGTCGTTCCTTCAAATTCCAAGTTTGTGTTCACAAAGTGCGCGAGATAGCGCCAAAATGATTGTCGTGGGTTCTAAGTGGCGAAGGTCGCGACAGCTTCCTAAACAATTCGAGGATTCTACACCCGAGGAGGAGTACGAACCACTCAAGCCATTGGATGTCTTTTGAATATCGCCTCAACCGAAGCTGGTATGGATGCCAGTGAGGCGAGGCAAGGGAGGAAAAGCTCATGTGTGCCTCGACTTTACCCCTGGAGAAGTGGAAGTTGTGATTTGTATCGCGAAGAGGCTGGCTGAAACTTCCACCACCATTTTTGATCACACAGCTACTCTAGTCACGACACGGGTGCTAAGCTGCGGCTGATAGCTGAGTGGCAAGATGATCAACCAAGTCGTGCGAAATCCAAAATGCTGGCTTCATCTCAAACTATAAAAGCCTCCATCGAAACCACCCCATCCTGACAACTCTTTCCCGTTATCACCAGCTTCCAATCACTATCAGTTCGCCAAGATTCTCGCAAACAAGCATACTTTCCAACTTTTGTTCTCATATTCACTCTCATTGTTCAATCGACTTTTTGGTCTTCTTTTCGCTCTCAGTAACATCTGCCCAGCAAAACCCAGGAGAAAAGTCATTCACTACGAAGCCATTCCCTACCAAACAATGTCTTACAACGCCCCTTCCAACACTTCCATCGCCACCAGCGGCGCTCCTCGCGCTGCGGTCTGGAGCTTGAAGTCCTCCAACCCTGATCTCCCTGCCGAGTCTGCCATCTTGCCCGATGATGGCAGCAACGGCACTGAGTCCGTCTTCGACGATGACAAGCGTCGTCGCGTCGAGCCTCAGAGCTTTGCTGATGGTGGCAAGTTCCGATGTAAGCCCTTCAATATCCTACAAAACCCCCATCTGTAATCCCCTGGCATCAGGCAAAGCTGACACAAGGAACTCCAGCTGTCGTTAAGATCCAGGCTTGCTTCAACAAGGGCAACGGCAGCGTCTGGATGATGGGCTCCGGCTGGCTCATCAGCCCGGACACCGTCGTCACCGCCGGTCATGTCGTCTACGACTGGGGTCACCGCCTCCAGAGCGCTACGGAAATCAAGTGCTACATTGGATACTCTGGCCGCGCGTCCATTGGCACCCCCAATGTCCAAGCCCGTTTTGGCGAGCGTATCATCACCACCGCTGAGTGGATCGAGGCTGCTGGCAACCGCAGACACGATGTTGCCTTCATCAAGGTCAACCGTCCCTTCACCGGAAACCTCCGAAACATCCCGTTCAAGGAGACTCCTTTGTTCGCCAAGAACGCCAACATTGGTGTTGTTGGATACCCTGGTGACAAATACCTCGAGGGCCAGAACGGACAGAGCGGAGAGAAGGGTGCCCAGATGTACGAGGAGTTCGCGCCTACCGAGTATGACCTCAAGAAGAGCGAGCGCCACATGATTGAGTACCAGGTCTCGACTTTCGCCGGTAAGTTGACAAAGTGTCTCTTCTGCTCCTATGGTAACATGCTGACAGATACATGAAAACAGGCCAGTCTGGTGCCCCAATCTTCCAGGTTGAGAACAACGCGCTGGTGTCCATTGGCACTCACTGCTACGGTGGTGGTGGCGACGAGAGCAACTCTGGCAACTCCATCGGCGGCCCATATGGTAACAACTACCATGCTTTCCTCGATCTCTTCAACAGCCCCCAGTTCCCGCAAGCACAGCGCCAGGGTATCAAGGTTCTCACTGCCAACGGCAATGCTCGTCCCAGCAGCAACATCAGCGCCTCCAACGGCGCGCCCAGCAACGGGCAGGTCAAGAACGGCAGCGTCCCCTATTCCAACGGTTACGGCAACGGCAACACGTACAACGGTAACGGTAACGGATATTCCAATGGTGCCTCCAACGGACACAGCAACGGCTACAACGGCTTTCGCCAGGAGAACGTGTCTTCTCCCCCGCAGCCGACCCACTACAACTCGGGCACGGGTCTTCAGGAGAGCTCGGATGAGGAGGGCTTCTTCGATATCATCAGGTCGATCGCCAAGGTCGCCGGACCTGTCGTCTCGACTGTCACTCCTTTCCTTGGCCCCATTGGTGGGCCCATCGGTGCCATCGCTGGCGGCATCCTTTCGACTGTCGGAGGTGCCGAAAGCGCCCTCGAGGACGGCAACGCGACTGCCGCGGTCGAGACCGCGATCAACTCGGGCGCCACTGAGCGCGCGGTGCTCGCCGAGGCGTCGCTTCAGGCCCTACTGAAGCTCGAGGATACCCCCGAGACCGCTGAGATTCTCCACACCATCAACTCGAAGTACAACGCCTTCAGACCCAAGTTGGATGCCATCGCCAAGGTTGCTCAGCCCCAGCTCACTGAGGCTGGGCTTCACCTGGCTCATCGCCAGATGGCCAAGATCCAGGAACGAGGAGCCTCTGGATTCCAGGAATCTGATATCGAGCTTCCTCGCGAGCAGCTCAGGGGACTCCAGTACAACCAGCAGGGTTCGCAAGGAGCCTTTGTTCAGGGCCTTCTGGCACCCACTCGTCCGGTCTCGGGCGAGGAGGGCTTCTTTGACTCCCTCGGCTCCGTCTTGAGTAAGGGCATCAGCTTCGCCAAGCCCTTCATTGCGAGTGCCGCGCAGGGAGCACTCTCCGGCGTCATCGGCCGTCTCGGTGGTGGCGCAGAGTCCTCCTTCGACACCCCCGCCGTCGGCTCTCACGAGTATGCCACACTCCTCGCGTTCAAGCGTGCTGCTGCCGCAGAAGCCGCTCTGCAGACCCTCATGGCTCTGCCCAAGGAGAAGCTCGACCGCCTTCGCGTCAGCGAACCCCAAAACGGCGAGGAGGGTTTCTTCGACGTCATCAAGGCTGGTGTCCAGAAGATTGCCCCCTCCGTGCTGGACATCGCCAAGACTGCCATGCGCAAGGTCGTCCCCGTCATCGTCGACGCTGCTTCCCAGAAGATCAAGAGCGCCGTCGGACAGGAGAGCGCCGACTCGGCTCCCCGCAGCAACATCACCAGCACTACCAGTGTCATTAGGACCAAGAGGTCCGTCGCAGACTTGCTTACCGCGTCGGGTCAGTCCTACAAGGGAGCGAAGGTGAGCAACAGCCCTGATGATTCCGACCACGTGAACGCCACCCTGGAGGAGCTCCTCAAGTCCCGTGAGAGTACATGGGTGCCTTCGCTCCACAAGCGCAAGTCCTGGGACTCGAACGACGACGGCCTCTGCATGATGGACGACGAGGATCTTTGATTTGATGCGTGGATAACAATGTGCTAATTCGCTACGACTAACGACAGGTCATTCCCACGTACTGATGATGGATGAGTTGGTCACCCTTTACCGACTGTGGCAGAGGTTCCGGTTGATGATGCCAATGGCGGAGGAGCGTGGGATTCTTGCCATCGATGGCTTTTCGATTCGACTTCGCGAGTTTGGAACATCCACAGTCACACGAGGCTGTATTGTTCCACTCAGCTTGATTGGCTTGGACAATTTTGTGCTTGTACTTGTATCTGGTCTTCTATCGTTTGCAGGATTGTGTGGTGTTTGGCCTCGGACTTTGGCTACGCATATCGTACTCAGAGCCTGTGGTTTTCCCATCTCTCAATCCAATAAAATCACTGCCCTTCTAAAATCACATGACCAACACCGTATTGTGTATTGTTGCTCCTAAGACGTTTCTGCGGAGCATGGGATCTCGTTCTCTACAGGATTCTGCATGTCTTCTCGGTTTCTAACATTGTTGAGGGAGCTGTGATTCGGCCACCTTCTACAAGTACTACTTCCTCGAATCGGTTACCGGAGTACTCGATGCGCTTCCATGTCTTCAAATCGCCCTTGTTCGCGTCAATCTCCCAGACTCGTGTCCTTCTGTAGTAACGATTTTCATCATAGGAACAGTAACCCCCGAACCCGCTACCTCCATTGTAACAGAGCCACGGGCCATGCTTGACCGATTGATCGTCACGTTCTACCAAATGACCTCGCTGCAACTTCAGCAATAAAGCGCAGAAGTCGTTGACATGATCGTGCCCACAGCCCACCGCAGACACCTCTTCTTGCACCAGAGCATCGTAAAGATGCGTGTTGATGCTGGGGCCTTCGGTTGGTTCTCTCCGCTTGCCACCGCTTATCGACAAATCGTCTCCTGCGTATTCGGGGAAGGGTATGTGCATGAAAGCCAAAGAAAGAAAGGGAGAGCTAGCGTCTCTCTTTGCAATGCGGGTCTTTTTTAGATGCCGTGAAGTGGAGGTGAACCAGTCGATTTGACTCTGCTGGATTGGCTCGTAGTCGGGATTCTTGTCATTACTCCTGATTTGCCCATGAGAGTCGAAAAAGAAGATTGTTGCCAATGGGACCTGCTTTTCGTCGCTAGAAAAGAGTTGGAGATAGTAGTTGCCCACACCATCTACTGACTCGGGCCCAGCCTGTGCTAGACAAAATGGGAGATCTTGCAATATTGCCATTTGCTTTCCGCCTACGTCAACAAGTGTCAGCACAGAAAATTGAACAGAAAAAGTGCTTCGAGACATACGCGACAGCGCGTAGGTGCCCTCATCGTCATGATTTCCAAAAACCACCGCGAAAGGAATCGATCGACTGATCAAAGGTGACACAACCTTGAACAAAGGGGATTGTGTGTCTGGTATATCATGATGTACTTGGTCCCCGCTGAGAATCACCAAGTCGGGTTTCTCGACGTCCAAAATTTCCCCAATGAACTTAATCGTGTTCGGATCAGCTTCAATACTAGGTAAAGGTTGACCATTTGCGTCGATGGCATCGTTGCAAACTCCAGCACCCGTGACCATGTGCGTGTCGGAAATCTGGACGATCTTGAATTTTCCGTCTTTGTTGACACGTAAAGGCGCATTCGGGTCGTCAGGTCTGGGTATTGGTGGACCAAATCGCGCTGAAAGCCTCGGTGCGGGCACGTCCGGTTGATCCTCAAGTTGGAGGGGTGCGGGTAATAGTGTCCAGCCTGGTCGTGGGTCGACAGCATCCGTTCCGAAGAGAACGTCAATACCTGTCAATAATCTCAAATAGTGACCAGTGTAGTGACTTCTCAGGATCCAAATGCCGCAGGATCGTTGCTCCCAGCCGTCCTCGCCATCACCGGGGGGCTTCGTGGCGCCGACCCAGATATCCGTGATGACGCGATTGCCATTGGCAACATCGGCCCTATCCCTTTCTTCAAGGTATATCCATGCTGCCTGCTCGCCTGCGTGAAGGTAGAGATCTTTCTCGAGTCGATTCCATGTCCTCTTTTCCAGAGGGCAGGCGACTGGGACGCCAGGTGAGGCACAGGATGTGACAGATAAATCTGTTATCACGGTGTGAAGTTGCTTCATTTCTGAATTGGTTGGATGACGTCAAGCTTCGACCGAACGCCTCGCCGTTGAGCTCAGGATAAACGTGCAAAAGGAACAAAAAGAATGCGGGGCAAGCGAGTGTCATCATAGTGAGGTGGTTGCCTGATTCTAGTATCATGTGACCCAACATGCGCAACTTCCCGCCCTCGAATTGGTGAATTACTGGAGGCTGGCGGCTACCGGTATCCCATCTCTCACGGAACACCAACCAATGAGACCTAGACGACCATTGTGTAAGTACAACCAATCTGACCAAAAGCTCCGGGCGATGTGTTAGGACTCCACCAGCTCGCTCAGTCTGGTTTCGACCGGAGGCGGATCAAAATCTGATGGGCGGCGTCAGGGGGACGTATTGCCAAGCAACATCTCCAGAGGCTGGAAGTGGAAATATCCATATGCTCCAATGATCAATCGTGAGTGACAATACACCTCCCGTGGTGCTGTCCATAATCGCAAGAGTCGCGAAGCAAGGCGATCATGCTAGGGCTCTTTGTTCTTTTCTTAAATCCGCTTCTAATAACTTGAAATGTTCGCAGTCAACAGGGCATTGAGAAAACGGCCTCATGAGCCAGTCACCACCTCAGTCCACAATGTATCCTTTTTCGTAACATCAAGTCCTGAGGCGTGATGCCAACCATATTCGCAAATCCGACACACCGAAGGTCGACGGATGATCACTTGGAGCGGGTCATAGTGCGAAGAAATTGTCGCCAACGACTTTCCGCCCTGACTTGAACCAGCCACTCCGAGGGTCTTCTGGCATATCACTCGCGCAGGATAACACGTCTTGATCACACTGTTCTTGGTAGGGACCTTGCTCAACTACCAACCACACTGGAGAGGTCAAGTCGAAGGATCCCACTCCCGGTCGCTCTGTTGGTACTCTGTGTAGCTGAACAGCATGGAACCACCTGTACCACGTTCTGTAACGGCCATTGTGTTTGGCCCGCTGCTCCGGCTCCAGCGTTGATAACGACTGCCGACGCTGCCACATGAAATGGGCTGACCACCCTCCACACCATAGCCTGCCTCTGGTGTAATACAAGTAAAGAGGGCTGTAAATTTTCGATCTCTTAGAGAAGCCTGAAGTGGTTCCAAGGCCCGATTGTTGTCCTGGCGGTATGTTCTTCATAGAAGTGCAGAACTTTTCCACTTCAGGTGTGTAAAAGGATTCTCCTCGTAATCTTCAACAGAACGATGCGGACAACATCGCGCCAAAATGGATCCCTTGTCGATCACAACCAGCGTTCTCACGATACTTCAACTGACTGGCAAAGGCTCAGGGCTAGCTTTAGGCGCGCTCAAGTCATTATGGGAAGCACCAGAAATATTCAAGCAGCTCATTACCGATGCCGAGATATTACGAGGTGAGTTGAGCTTACCCTGCAGCTTGGTACGTAACAGTTCAGAGGCGCTAATCTAGCCATAGGTTTACTTCTGGATACAGAGGCCTGTCTCCGTAGCCGGCACAGAGATAGTCATGAAGATCCAATACCACCATCCATTGTTCATGTCCTCAAAGCCATCAAAGAGCGCGTGACAGAGTTTGAATTGCTTGTTCAGTGGGTGGTCACAAGTAATCGCGTCGCTATCTCAGCCAGAACTAATGGTCTTTTTGAATGCATCAGCACCCGAATTTCGTGTCGGCAAACCGAGGATGGAAATGTTGTTACCAAAGTCAAGCGAGCAAGGATGCTGCAATCGGAAGCCGATATCCAACGCATCAAGATGAACATTCGAGATTCATGCGATATTTTACGGACTCAACTCGATTTACTTCAACTAGACAACAAGTAAGTGAGCCATTGATCCAACGATTTTCGAAAGCCAAGCTGGCATGCTTACCCCGCAACAGAGAGCTCCTCACAACAACAGTCCTTCAAATCCAGAGTGTAACAGTCGCAAGCCATAATGCCATTTGTGCCCTGCAAGAGCAACAGCATAAAACCCAAAAAGACATGCAGATCGGCTTTCAGAGTTTGAACGCTATGCAACATAACCTTCTTCGTTCCATGCAGCCTCTGATTGAGCAGGCCCAGAGCCTGAGTCCAGGACAAATATCGACGAGCGAGCCCGATTTACAAGTGGCCAACAGCGGGGTATCAGCCAACAGTCCAGCTGTTCTCATCTCTGCGAGTGTAAACTCGCATCGATGTCCGCGAGGGTGCCGATGCCGATGTCACACCCGGGCAGCGGTCCGTACACCCCCGTGGCTGAGAAACGTCGTCGGCCAGCTCCACTGGAGTTTCGACTCGTCAATATCAATGCGACCTTGTAACTATGCACCATGTAGGAAGAGCCTGAGTAAACACAACATCACCTGCTACTTCCCACCCTGGCTGGTTTCGAGAGCGATAATGGCTTCCGTTAACATGGAGAACGTCTTCGATGCTGGGGCAAAGGTTTCAGTCAACGTGCCGCTGATCGTCCCGGAAGAGGAGCATATTGTCTGGCCGCTCGTGATGGCCGGAAATCTCGGGCAGTTGCGGGAGTTACTATCGAAAGACCGGAATCTGATGTATGTCAGGAATCAATGGGGCCAATCCATTATGCACGTAAGACTACTCAAACTGCATTCCGACGTACCTTGTGGAATACCTTAGTGCGGAATCGTGCTGATTTACTATCTCGAATGCCAGGTCGCTGCTAAGATTCATCAGCCAGCCGTCTTCAACTTCCTCAAGAATGAAGGCATGGACGAGAATCTCGCAGATGAAAACCAAAAGTCCGCAGCCATCACTGTCCTTACTCGCAGAGGAAGCCAAGAATACAACCTCCCAGTTGATACAGAGGATCTTGCCGATAGGCTAGGCTGGACCAATCTTCACAAAGTCGCCGCTTTGGGAGCGCGACATGGTCAGGAAATAACGGAAGCCCTTCTACGAGAATCCGAGTACTCAGATATCAACACGAAGGACATCCTCGGCCGGACTCCGCTCCACTGGCTAGCTGAGAACGGCAAATCAGACGCTATCCGGCTCATTACTCAGGACCCATGGAGCGCCGATGTCCAAGCCAGAGACCTTTGTGGGTTCACGGCGCTGCACTGTGCATGCTGGGCGGACGATTTTGATAGCATCGTTGCACTGCTCGACGTAGGGATAGACGTCAACGCCCTTGATAAGCACATGCGAACACCCATGATGCACATGAGTAGTCCGAAGATACTGAAGTACTTGTTGCGCAAGGGGGCTGATGTGCACATCAGCGATGATGAAGCGGCGAATATCATGCATCATGCTTGTGTGTCCGATCAGGAAGACCTCGTCGAGATTCTACTGAGAGAATACAGTCACTTCTTACTTACCAGGAATCATACAGGCGACACGCCGCTCGGGCAAGCCATCGCAAACAACAGCCTTGCAGTATTGAAGGTGATGGCTCCTTACCTTCAGGGCTTCCCGGTGAGTCTTCCGCTTTACTATTTGAGATAAGGTAGTCCGTATGCGGTACTATCAGGGGTAACTCAAGTCATTTCGAAGGAACCCGGTGATAACCGCGATTCTATCAAATTATCTCTTTGCCAGGAATTGCAGTCTCCGGTGCCTAATGAAAGTTTGATGCAGCCCGAAAGACTGAGCCTCTTGAACAACAATAAGAGGAGCTTGCTCCACCTGACAGCTTTACATGGGAGCACGGAGGCGATGGACATCCTAGCATCCGCCAATCTCTGTGGCGTGGATACAGCGATCAGAGACAAAGATGGGCACACTCCCAACGAGTGTTTCGTCAGATGCCGCGACAACCACTGCGCCGTTACCCGTAAGCCATTCGAATCAGAGAAGCTTGCATGGTTCTCATTGATGAACTCTGCACGAGGGCAGGAGTTGCCGTTTCAGGGTCTGACGGGACAAGACGCCGACGATGAATCGACGATAGTTGCATCTGAAGATGAGTGGGGCCATAGGAAAATATCTACGGCCAGCTATGTGTTTACTGATCCGAGTGGCGGTGAGGTGTCATCTGACGAAGAGTTCGTAGATGCGGAGTACGAGGTCCGGGAGTAAGCAGAAGGCTAAGATGAGACTTGTCACTCGGAGCCGACGAGTTGCGTTTAGAATGTCGATCTTCGGGACGATACCCAGGCTTGGATAACAAATCGGAGATGTGGAATCGAGGGAAATGCTCTATCAATTCGATAGAGGTCTCTTTCGGTCATCTCGGCAGTGAGTAGCTGGGATCAGCAATACCCACCAGTACACTCGGAGTCTCATGAGTCCCTTGCAGCCCTGCCAGTGACCCTGGCCTCGTTCATTGTCGAGTCATTAGCGCTCTCCAAAATGGCGATCGGCACTGCAGCTCGATCGCATTGATCGTAGTATGATTTTTAGAACACGGATTATTTCAAAATTTCTATAGATTCTCTCCCGCGAACACCCGCTCGAATAGCAGATTCTGAAATCCACTAACGATGAACTCTTCCCGGCTTCTGGAGATTATTCATCGGCACAAGATCCGCCTCGTCGCTATCACTATAGGATACCGTAAACGTCTTCTGGAACTTGATCTGCCGATCATGCGCATCGTGAACGGAATTAGACCGGTCAACGGTGACTACACCAACAGTCCGAGCCTGGCTGCGCTGAGCGGCGTTCTTGGACCTGACGTCGCTCCCATACTGCTGGTAATATTGACGTCCCTTGCTACGAAGTGTCGAGCCGGACATGGCCGGGAAGATCTTGACCAAGATCATGCGGATGGACGGCAAGCACGCACACATGATGCCTACGCAGATCTCAATCGTGCTCCACACGCTAACGTCGATAAAGTCCATGGTAGCGTTGGATCCCTTTGCAAAGTCGACCAGGGACTGCAATCGGATGATGCTCACGACGGTGACACTGATGCGACGTTAGTTTTTGTTTTTTCTCGCACGGAAGAAACAATCCAAGACCCAGCAACCCCAGGTCTTGGTAGTGTGCGCGAGTCAAGAAACTTACAATGTGCCCACGATGAACATTAACGCGACTCCGACCTTCTTCTTCCAGTGCAGTCGCAAAGCTCGCAACTGCCAGAGGGGAATTGCGAGCATCCATAGATCCAGCGCGATGCTGATGGCGGCGTTGGACCAACTGATGGCGTTTGCGTTTGCGCAACTGCCCTCGTGCATGCGATCCCACTTGACCCAGAAATAGTGAATCGGCTTGCACTGAAAAACTGCAGTGATGACGAACGCGAACCCCCAGACAATGATGAAAATTGTCGTCGCCCAGAGAACGCGCTGGACCTCTCGCGCGGGGAAGATGCGCATGTAGAAGAAGATAATGGCGAGCTTGACCAGCGTCACCTGCAAGAAGTACAGCCAGGCCATGATATAGAAGTAAAAGAGGACGTTGGTGATTTGCTCAGGCGTCAGTGTCCAAATGTCTCTTCCCAGACCGTTCGCAGTGGTTCCATGAACAGTGATGACGGCGCTCGGCATGGCTGCGATCAACGTCGCCATTACGAACCAGTCATCCCAGCCGACGTCGAGTCCCGCGAGAAAGATCTTGTATCCGAACCGGCTGAGAACGCAGACCGCTGCCAGGATGGCCATGACGTTGGAGAGGACGACATATTCGCCGGATCGATTGCGCACGGGAGCGCCGCAGTTTGTCAAGCTCGCATTCTTCGTGGCTGTAGTGAATTCGAGTAAGCCTTCATGACATTCATCAACGGAAGAAAGGGACAATCAGGGACTTACCGAGAGCTTCTGGTATCGTGCAACTTGCCGAGACACACAGCGTGACGTTTAGTTGGAATTGCTGGTTCGTGCAAATACAAGTCTGGTTTGTGGGAGCACAGTAGCCGCCACCAAAAGCGCTAGCTATGCATTTTGTCTGTGGGAAGATGCCCAGCCGGTTAGCCACTTTTCTCCAACGGTTTTCCCAACGGCGCCCCGAAATGTCAAAATGTTGCAAGGGAGAGAGGAATAAACTCACAGCGCATGCCGGATAAGTGAGTTTGGTGGCAGAAATCGTCGTCTCCTGCGCCTGTACGGCGACGAGGATGCCAAGGAGCAACGCCAACACGAGGCGGAAGAAGGATGCCATTGTTGTTCACGGGCGGGCAAGGGCAGCAGCGGTTCCGTCTTGGAGGATTCCCAGAGATCCGGAAGATCTTCTCTTCATAAATGAAATCGGACGGGCTTCTTGCATAGATTACATTCCTGGTCCTCCATGTGGCAGACCGGCCACCTCCCAGGTTTGGTTCATCGCCAAGTCGCCAACTCTAGTCGAGGAATTCCCAAGGGCGCGCCATAACTGACCACTAGTCCCTTAGTCTACCACTTTACCCGACTCTCCCTTCGCTTCGAGGGGACGATGATACGCTGTTCCTTTGGTCCAACACTTTCTGCGACACGAACCGATGCAGCTACTTCGGAGCTCTTGTCTACGAAGTCCTCCTTCGAGACTAGGGTACGTTAGGGAAAGCTGATACTGCCCCCCTCTTTAGCTGGAACTTTTCCGAACTAGCCGTCCGGTTTTCTGGTTGGTAGGTTCTTGGCTTCCCCCAAACGGGAACCAACCCCGTCGTTCGCGCCCCCGGCCAAGCAGCCCCTGCAGGAAAAAAAGGTGCAGCAATGCATCGAAATCACCGGCGGCACAGCAGCGGCTGACGTCTGGGTCTCGGAAATTAGTCCCGTTACTAGATCGCGGGTGAAGGAATCGTTGGAGAATATTCCTTCAGTGGCGCATTTTTTGACTCAGTATTAGATCTGGTAGCGGTGGCTTTTTTTTCCACACCTCTTGCGGTGGCTTCTGTGGTAATTGTGATAAGAAGCGCTTGAAGCCGCCGTCTTGGAGCTAGAATGCAGGAGAAGCTCGTGTTGTCGTTTTAGTCTCTGTTTAATTCAACCTTAATCATTGGGACTTCATTTAGATCTGTGGGCTCCAAGCTGGGGGAGACCAAGAACTAGTCGGCCCCCACGAACAGATTGACACTGGGCTTGTCATTGTCGGGGCCGCTTGGTGTCTCATCCGTTCTCTGTCCCTCACCCCGGTCGACTCCGGCCCCACGGTTGCGCAGAAAGAATGCGGGTGCTCGTCGGATGTCACACGCCTTAATAGGAAGTTCCATTATTCTTATGAAGGGGACCCCGAAAAAGCCCTGTCTCGGCCGACATGGTTTCTTGCCGTCCGCGTACTCCAGACTGTCAGTCGGACCGGTTTGGGGCATTGCAGCCGTGAGTCTATCGATCTGGAGGTTACCAACACAGTTCCAACGCAGTTGCCACATACGACTCTGGATAACGCAGTTGCAATGCTGCCAATACAATCCGTATCGAGTTCGAAAGGAGGCGGAGTTTACATCCATCTCGAAAAGCCGAGGCCCTCGTGCTTCCAGGGGTAGAGATGTTGGCATCCCGCATGATGGATGCGAGGGATATATGAGTTCCAGAACCAGTCACACTTTTCGTGGCTTGCACCTAATCTGTCACCCACCCCTCACTCTCTCTCCCTCCACCTCCTCTCCCATCTCTAGGCCTTTTGACTGCTTGCCCAACTCAAGTCATCAACATGAGGCTCTCTTATCTGGCCGTAGCCACCGCCTTGGCTACCATCACAACAGCTGCAGCAACCCCCAAGCAGCAATGTCACTGCCTGCCCGGTGACTCTTGTTGGCCCTCAGTCTCCGCCTGGAACCTGCTCAACGCAACCGTTGGTGGGCGTCTGGTCGCCACCAAGCCCATTGGATCGCCCTGCCATGATCCTACATACGATGCCGCGGCTTGTGCTGCTCTGCAGTCATCCTGGACCAACCCCTTGACACAGTAAGTCCCGTCTATATCTCGGTTTACCCCCTCAACCAACCTGTTCCAGACGGAGTGTGTTGCTGACATGATTGTTTTAGCATTCCCTCCTCGTCTTCTGTTATGCAATCTTACTTTGCCAACCAGTCCTGCGACCCTTTTACTGACAGAGCTGTCCCCTGCACCCTCGGCAACTATGTCAGCTACGCTGTCGATGTCCGCTGCACCGCAGACGTCAGCCTTGCTCTCACGTTTGCCAAACTCAACAACCTCCGAGTAGTCGTCCGCAACACCGGTCATGAGTGAGTAGCCTGATCTCGACTACAAGCCCCGCTCCACAGTAGCTGACAGCTTCCTCTCTTTAGCTTCCTTGGACGTTCTACCGGTGCCGGGGCCCTTGCGATCTGGACCAACCACTTGAAGACCATTGACTTCTCAACATGGTCTGACAAGTACTACACCGGCCCGGCCGTGAATGTCGGTGCCGGTGTCCTCGGTTACGAGATCCTTGAGGCTGCCCATGCAAAGGGTCTTGCTGTCGTCTCTGGTGAATGCGCCACAGTTGGCCTTGCTGGCGGTTTCACTCAGGGAGGTGGCCACTCTGCCTTGTCAACTCAGTTCGGTCTCGGAGCCGATCAGACCCTCGCCTTCCAAGTAGTCACCGCCGACGGTAAGACTGTCGTCGCCTCTGCGACACAGAACACCGACTTGTACTGGGCCCTCAGCGGTGGCGGCGGCGGCACTTTCGGCGTCGTCACTGGCCTGACCGTCCGTGCCTACCCGGCCCAAACCGTCGGCGGTGCTGCCTTCCAGCTTCTCGCCGCGACGACCACGCCCGAGAAGTTCAACGCCGCTGTCTCCAAGTTCCACGAGCTGCTGCCCGCCATGACAGACCAGGGCGCTTTTGCTGTCTTCCTCCACAATGCCCAGTTCCTCGTCCTTCGTCCCTTGACTGTCTGGAACTCGACTGCTGCCTACGTTCGCGACGTCGTCCTTGCGCCCTTCACCAAGGCCCTTCAGGAGGAACTTGGTATCACTCTGGCCGTTGCTTACAGCGAGCTGTCTTACCGCGACCACTACGACCGCTACATGGGTCCTCTTCCCCAAGGCAACCTTGAGGTGACGCGCTACCAGTTCGGTGGTCGTCTTATCCCCCGCGAAGCGATCGAGAACAACAACGCAGAATACCAAAAGGTCGTCCAGAACCTGACCGCCAACGGCGTCCTCCTCGCCGGTAGCGTCGGACACTACAACAAGCCCGCCGGTGCGCCTGAGAACTCGGTCCACCCGGCGTGGCGTAAGGCCGTCATGCAGCTCCAGCTCATCACCAACTGGGACAATGCTGCGCCGTGGGCCGATATGGAGGCTTCGCAGAAACGCATGACGGAGGAGTTCATGCCTTGGATTACGGCTGTTACTCCGGGTAGCGCTTCGTACATGAACGAGGCTGACTTCAGGCAGCCGGATTGGCAGAATGCCTTCTTTGGTACCAACTACGCCAAGTTGCTCACGATCAAGAAGAAGTATGATCCTGAATCGCTCTTCTACGTCCTTAAGGGCGTCGGTAGCGAGGCGTGGACTGTTGCAGCCAACGGACAGATGTGCCGGGCTTGAGTAGTATCGCTATAGTTGACATAATCATATTAATACCTACCTGCTACATGGAACTTTTCAATGTGAGGTATCTTGCAATGCGAGCCACGTTAAGTTATGGAAGAGTTCGAGGTGGTTTCGCGTCCGGTGACTCTGAACTAGATCCACGCACTGGTGTTGGTATTTATGTAATACCTCCAGGCTATGACAACAATGTGTCTAGCGAATCGACGGACATGGACGTAGGCTATCTCTAGGGTTGAGGATGTTCTCTCCAGTCATTGTACAAATTGCGGTAGCGAGTCTGACCGAATGCCCCCTCCTTTGCGTCACAAAGAAGATCCAATCAGTGCTAGTCTGTGGCAGGATACCCGCTCACGTGCATCACCCTACAGAGCCAGTTTCTGCACCCTTACTAATGTTGTCTAGTTTGCTGAGGTTTCTCACATGATTGCATCAACAAGAACCACGTTCGCTAGTTCGAGGACGAGATTCGCAATATCATAGCTGATCTGGGCCGCGTTTACTCAACGGTCCAGTCACACAAGCACTCTGTCACTCTCAGATCACCACGGGGTCCACCGAAATTACAGAACCATGTCTTTGACAGATGAAATCTACCCTACGCTGAGTCGCGAAACAAAATCAACCAGGCTCCTGCAAATTCAGCCCCAGCAGGAAGACGAACCCTTGCAATGCACGCTGACAACACACTCGCTTAACGACGCTCCTCCGTTTATCGCTCTCTCATACGTTTGGGGAGCGCCTGAACCAACACACAACATAACCATCAACGAAGTTACATTCCGGGTGCGAGAGAATCTATGGCACGCCCTCCAACAACTGGAAAATATCGCCAACAACGACGAAAACTGCATCTCACAGCAGAAGAAGTCCGGCACGGTATTACCAAAATACTTCTGGGTTGACGCGATTTGCATCAACCAAAATGACAACTCGGAGCGCGGTCATCAAGTCGGCTTGATGAAGGACATTTTTTCCATGGCACACTTTGTGATTTCGTGGATAGGACAGGAAGAAGGCGAAATCGCCGCCATGCTTGAATATCTCAAGGGCCTCAAGCACACTGCCCGAAGGGAGAGGAACCACTACCTTCGCTCACAGAAGCGGAAGTTCTCATTTAAAGACGCAAAGTGGTTTGTGTCACGACCGTATTGGTCCCGGATATGGATTGTGCAAGAGTTTACTTTGGCTAGAGAGTTATGGGTATTATGCGGATCTGTCGCCATATCATGGACTTCCCTGCAACAGTTTCGACCATTTGGCATATCTGACCAGACAAATCTTGGGTTCAAGCATCTCTCAAAGTCGGAAAGCCATTACAGCATCGAGCCCCGTGTCAACAGCTGTAGAGAGTTATCAAAACTCCGACGGTCGTGGCAAACAGATCCGAAACGCCCTTCCTTCACAGACAAAGACCCCGGCTTTGGAGCGAGACCCAAATTGACCCGCCTTCTCGCCTTTTCGAAAGACTATCATTGTACGGATCCTCGGGACCGGGTGTATGGTCTACTGGGGCTGACAGAGGAGGACGGCATTCAAGACCGATTGCCAGCTGACTACAACATTACGCCGTTCCAACTCTATCACCGAGTGATCAACCATTTGAAGAGTCAAGGGCAGTCTTTTCTCCCTCACCTGTTTCGTGACAGGCTAGCTCAGGGACTCCAAATATGCGATCACGACAGTCTGCCAACGTCTACGTTTCTCTACGAAATAGTGGCGAGCCGATGTGTGAAAAGACTCCTGCACACTGGTGCAAATATGTGGAGAGAGCAATTTCTAAAGGAAGTCACGGGGTTTCTAGAGATTGCGGATGGAGATGGTGATGCTCATGCAATGTTCTCCAGGATCATCTGCGGAATGAGCTCCTTTCCTTCCAACGAAGACCCAACCACTTGGGCAGAGTTTGTTGCAGCTCTAAAGAATGCTTTGAGAATTAATGACAAAGACTTATTGAAGTTGCCGACAATTGAAGTTGATAGCTTTTAATGAGAGGTCATGAGCAAAACCGCGCGAGGCCTCAGTCTAGATTTTGAAGCGTGTGTTGATATTTCAGTAAGCCCGTCGAGACATCATGAGATGTTCCAGGGTGAGATTCAAAATAAGTCGAGGAAAGCACTGCGAAAGGGCTTGTGATTGATATGATTCAGAGTTGCTACCATAGTTGAAATGATGTGTTCCATCGCTCGAGAAGCATCTGGGCATCGCGTTTCAGCCATCAACCGGGCTAGTTCTTCGAGGCTGTCATCTCTCTAACATCTTACCAGATGAACGATTCTCATTTAATATGCTTGACAACGACGCGTTACCCAGTCTTCGCAGTGCTCCCCTTCATATGCTCGCTCGTGTTCCTCGACACAGTTTCAGTCAGGTAACGTGCCTTTCATCCCTGTGGATGCAGAATACCATAGTCAACAGCTGCCTCAAACACAGAATTAACATGCGTAACGTGGCTTACAGAAGTAATCCCCAGCCCACCATACAGCCCAACCGCCCATGAGCTCAACATTCGGAGCAGCGCCTTTCCCGGTTCACCTTCCTTATAGCAAACATATCCATCGACAATACCACAGTAAAGACCTGAAGTCAAAAGAACGGTGTCGATAGCCTCGAAGTCGCCTCTGGCATAAAATGTGTAAATCAGCAGTCCAATGACTGATGTGCGTGCCGAAGAAAGGCTGAAGGTAGCATGAGCGGTTGGGGACGAGGCGATTCTATCCGGAAGGCCGAAAGCTCTAATTGAACCAGCGGGGTTGAAGAGCGCGAGTAGTCCGCCAAAAGTGGTGGTCGTTGCGACAAATAGGGGGAAGATGTGGCGGGGACTTATAGAAGCCATTGCTAAAAATTGGATAATGAGTCTGAACGCGGAGTCGGGAAGCCTTGCAGTCATAAGGCAACCCCGGACAATGAGATAAATAAGTAAGGATGACAAGTCAATTCTCATCTAGAAGGTTGGAGAGGTGATCAAGTCTACCTTAGGCAGCAGTGTAAGCTGACAAGTAAGCTGCTTACATATACACTTTGCGCCACAATGTCGTTGGTGCAAACGTCGATTTTGAGGATGGATTCAAAAACAAGTAGATAGATACCTACAATCGCTTTTGCTAATAGTTGTAACTCATTCTGTCTTGAAAGTTGGGTTTGTCGAAAGCCTTGCCTCTTTATCTACCGTATGTAGACTTCTCGTGAGCAGTAGGACCAAAAACATGCCACTCCCGAATCTCCTCAGAAACCCACCTCTGTCATATTTCCTGGGCATTGATTATTCTCGTAAATTTAATCTCGAGGCTTCAGACTTTTGATTAATTTCTTTCTACTTCAGGCTTTTGAGGTCCACGAAGCTTCGCTCCTGACTCTTCAAGCCCTGGTTCCTCTCTCAAAGAACGCAGAGAGCCGAGAGACAGCATCTCAGCCTCGAACCTTGTAGGAGAACCTCTTTCGATCTGCGGTAGCTCTAGTGATAGAAAATGCCCTGGAAAACAACAGGAGAAGAGTTAGACTAGTCACTGTGTACGGCTGCGACATTCCATAATATCTTCCAAAACTTCGTTTCGCTAGACGAGTGGAACATGCAGGTATAGGCTTGAAACTTTCTGGTGTGAAGGTCAATTCAAATCTGTGGTATCGCCCCAAAAGTCGTGGTAATACTGGCAGCACCAGAGGTCATAGAATGAAAGACGATTGGTGCGTATTGAAGATTTCTGCGGGAACTGAAAGGTGATCGGGTGCACTTGAGTGACACAGAGTCACATGGCTAACTTGATAGATCATAGCTAGGCTTAGTACAATGAAGTGGCCTTTGGCCTGCAATTACATAGAGTACCTCAGGGGAATCCTAGTAGTTGACTGTCAAATGAAGTGATTTTTGATGTCCTAATTCGCATCTTGGGCTTCCTCGGGGGAATTGAGTATCATGAGATAAAGTGCGTCCTGCAAGGAAAAGTCAGACAAAATCACGGTGCCTTGGAAGGGGGTTCTTACTGAACTCAAAGTCTTTCCCTGGCTATGAATTCGATGCTTCAAGACAGTACTGGTGTGCTCTGGCTTCACATCCGTTTGCTGTGCCTCCTCGCGAGTTGTATCCTCATCTATTTCGGCGGTAAAGAAATCGGCAGTGAGGCTTTCGACTTCAACCTTTCCTGGTACAAATCCAAGGCTTGAAGATTGGTTGAAAACAAAATCCCAATTAGTAGCTTTATTGCCACTCAGAGAAAATAATTCATGCCTCGTCCTTCCTGGATGCGTCGATACTCCGCATTTCAATGTGGACTGTCCCTGTCGGCCCTCCCCGATGTTTCCGTTTTCGCACTTCTCTTGTATCACTTGCCCAAGTCCTGTTTTGTGCTCGCGTTCGATGCTCGGACTTCTTCTCCGTCTTGATCGATATGAGTGTCTCGCAGGCAGACGATGGCTGTCTAGATCCGGATGAGAGTTGTGCTCGTCGTAGAATTCGAATTGCGAAAGTTCGGACCATCTGAAATCCCTCAATCTCCCCACTACCCTTGACCTCAATTTCAACCTTTTCTCCCGGGTTCGATCAAGGATGTCTGTTGATACTGCTGTACCTCCTGTCTCCTGTGTCTTCTCAGGCTCCTTCGGCTCTGTCCGTCTGCACGTGACAAGAACGCAAACTAGGCCTCTTGGACGGAACAGCTCTTTGTTTGCCTTTTGCAGAATTTCAGTCATTGCGCTGCGTCTTGTTGTATGCTTTCTATAGCTTGACGCCACGCCTATCGCCATTGGAAGCAGCGTGGGACGCGGTATGGTGAAAGCCGTCATGTTAGCGAAGCCTTTGATATCCATGGCATGGTCTCCTGGTGGTCTTAATTGCTCGTCTACTCGGTTCAGGTTATCTATACATCTCAAGAACTCCCTCTTCTCGATGCCGCAATTTTGTAAGCCCGGGGGGTAAGTTGGTGTAAATTTTGGTGACAATGTTCTGGATAATCGCTGTTTGATGATGATCGGATACGCTAGTCGAGGCCGACTGAAGGTAATCGTCGGCAGTTCAGGACCGGGGGTTAAATTGTTGCCAGGCAGTCTTGGGATGGCATCTTTTAGGACATCGAGATATTGCTGCAACTCTCTAGATCGGGGTTGATTTCGTTCTTGCTGCTTAATGAGGTGCCTTTCGGAGATTCTTTGAATAAGAGCAAGACTTTGATTCCGATCTTCTTCGTCTGTGCTCCGTATTTTTTCGTATTTGCAAAGTCCGAGTGATGTAGAGCCAGTCTCTTGAGTTGACTGCGATTCGCAGCCGTCCAAGAAGCCTATGGGTTGGCCGGGAACCCGTCCAGGTAACGACTCGGTACCGTATGCATATGCCGCCATCTTCTGAATGACTTCACTGCGTCCGAATCTAGCTCAACGCCACTGACCTATGAGGCATTCGGATCGATTTCGGCTTTGCATTGTGAGTGTAAAATCGAAAAGAAACCAGGAGATTTTCAATGTCGAATGATGTCTGGGATCCTCCGGACAAGCCGGCGGACATACCTGTGTCTGCAACACATCCCGACCCTGGATATGCGCGCGGCACGTTGTGGGATGACAAGTGAGACACGCTACTAGTTTGAACTTTCCAGCGGTGTTCTCCGAAAGAGAAGATTACGTGCATAACCGAGTCCGGAGGTCAAGCGCGGCGAGTGCGCAGGCGGGTGCGAATGCGACGAAGAAAAAAAGGGGCCCGGGTGCACTCCCAACTCGGACTTCGGCCCTCATCAAAGGTGAAAACCGACTCCGCCTCCAACGGCTCACATAAGTTCGACCAACCAACCCACAGATCTAAAACAAGATCGCTATGCGATAGGGTATTGTTGTCCTTACTGCATCTCTCATCCCATCGGGATCTTGAAGATCATTGAAAAGGGCACAGCATTTCCTTTCAACGGACAGTGTCTAACTAAATACAGCCATCTTTCCGAAGCGCCCATTCTTCGGGTTGATACCGAAGTCCATGATCCATCTGATGGCTTCAAAAGCTCTTGAGCAACCGCCTCCACCAAGGTAGCCTGTCCAAGTCATGTTCTCCAGTCTCAATTTCTCGCGACTCATCCAGATCGCGCCGGCGACCGGACATCAGATCAATCTCGCCCACCCTCCAGAAATGCGTCTTATACCAGAACTTGTATCCAAACCAAATGATGGGAAACAAGGGTAACAAGATGTAAGCATCGACAAATGATCCAGCATCGAATGGTGCAAGGGTGGTCCAACCTTGTACAACAGCCAGGAAAATGTTTGCCGCCAAACCGAAGTAGGCATTCCACGGATACCATAGCGAAACGAATGGCAGTGAACTCTCCGCATGGCCCTGAGCCTTCCACGCTTGTCTGAATCGGATGTGGATGAAAGATATGGAACCCCAGACGAGGAAAGTCGAGACACCGCTGAGGTTAACGATGTACGAGTACGCCTTGCTGGCGCCTGTGCTGATGTTCATCATGGACAGCGCGCCACACAGGTTGGTGAACACGATAGCCGGGATGGGGACACCCCGGCTATCAGTCCTGCCCAAGATCTTGGGCGCCTTCTTATCCTGTCCCATGTACAGAAGGGTGCGAGATCCGATGTAGATGGACGAGTTGCACGCTGATAAGCATGTAACAAAGATGAAGGCGTTAATCAAGTGCACGCCCCCTTCCCAGCCGGCGTTCTGGATAGCCACCGTCATGGGACTCTTCACGGCTCGGGAGCCCCCGTTCACGAGCTCGTCGGCATTAGCCGGGCATGTAAGGCCGAAGAAGAAGGCAGAGCCCATGTAGATGAAGATAATGCGCCAGAACACCTGGCGAATCGCGAGTGGCACGGCGACCCGAGGATTCTTGGTCTCGGTGGCGGCGACGGCGACAGACTCAACACCGGCGTAGAATGTGGAGCAGAAGACAAAGACTTTGGCGGTACCTCGGAAGCCGTCGGTGAAGGCGCCGGGGTCACGCCAATATTTGAAGCCCAGGGCTTCTTGTCCAGGGATTCCGCCAGCGGCGTATCTGTGTTCCAAATTAGTTTGTGTTGATCGGAATTGGTATTGTGGATGGTGACTTACACGATGGAGAAGAGAAAGTATGCAACCAAGCCAATTAATTTCAGCAAAGCCAACCAGAACTCAGCCTCTCCGAAAGCCTCGACTCCGAGCAGCTGGAAGCCAAGGAAGAGTGTCTGAGTGCATATTAGCGGCGCTGTTCTCCAAGATGTTCATAGAAAATGCATACCCAGAAGATCAGGAAGTAACCCCACAGCGGCACTTTGTCACTCCAGAAGACGAAAATGCTCGACAGCACGTTGTACTCATTGGCCAAGACACACATCCAGATGATGTAGTAATTCCAACCCAGCGCAACACCGAACGCCTTGTCGACAAACCGATCAGCCAGCCCAGTGAAAGCACCACCGCTAGGATACAACGTCGTCAACTCGCCCAAGCTCTGCATAATGCTAAACGCAATGACACCAATGACGCCAAATCCGATGAGCAGGGCGGCGGGCCCGCCGTTGGAGAGCGCGCCGCCCGCACCGATCAGGAGACCCGGCCCGATGATGCCCGCCAGAGCCATCATGCTGAGGTGCCGCGTCTTGAGGCCTCGCTTAACGCCGCTGTGCGGGTCAATGGCCGCGAAGTCGGCGTCCGCTGAAGTAGAGTCATCGGCATAGCCTGCGCGGCCGACGCGTGCGTCCTCGATGACAGGAACGTCATCGCTGTCCTTGTCGTAAGCTCGATATCGTGACATTGTGGCGACGGGCTTTGTAGAATGGTGCAATATGAACGCGAGGGGGCGGAGGATTTGATAAGTCAATGATCCTGCCAAGATCAGACGGTATCAGTGGTCCAGTACGGTCTCAGTCGCTTATCAGTCACCCCTCTCCCGTCTAGAAAGTTGGAGATTCGCAAGTTGAGTGTTCAATGTTGTTTGAGGTTGGGAGAGATATTCCAAACTCATGAAGGAATTCGACCCGGCCCTTTGGATCGGGATTTCGAATGCATTACCGCGAAGTAATGGCCGGGCCACTGCAGTCGAGAAAATCTCGTCATATCAAAACGTGTGCAGAGTGACACCGTGGTGATGGCGGATTTGCGCCGCGGGATCGCGTCATCGCCTGTCCTTGTCTCAAAGTCTCTCCAATTGGGCCATCGAGGGGCTTCAATGGTTCGGGACCCGCTTACATGCCGTTTAGTGCGGGGGGCATCCCGACCTCTTTCACGATCTCTTCCTGTTTAGGAGATTCTATTAGACGTTGGTATTCAGTCACCATGATGGCTGGTTGACTCGTGCAAAAAGGCTAATAGATGTTGACACAGACTTTGGATTGGTGTCAATTGAGGCATGGTCTGTGAGGGCTATTATAGTAATATCGCAACGGTTTTCGTCCTCGAGACGATAGTCTCAGCTCGAGCGGGTTGACAACAATAATACAGCCTTCTTCGACACCATGCAAAAATAAAATGAGACGTGGTGAAACGGCACAAGTAAGGTAGTAGAGCGCGAGCTTGTCCATCATCCGAGCATGCCTTGTCGCCCTTCACACAGCCATGTCGAAATACAACTCAGCTCACGCTAGAAGAAGTCAGCCTCATTAGCATTCATAAATTATTCTTTTCAAGATAGGTCTTCTACTTACCACTTGCCATCTGCAAGACAAATTGAGCAGCAGCGTCCGCATCTTCAGCATACGTCAAATGGTCGACAGTGATAAAGCCTCCACTGCAAACAGCATCATTTTCATGGCAGATGATCTTAGTTTTGCCCTCAGCGCCCGTAATGGCGTTCGGGTTGCCAGGATCCCCAAATGTCAAAACAGAGTTGATCTTGGCCATGGTAGCCGCCGGAAGAGTGTTTGCAGTGCTCCGAACAACCAGAGCACCCTGAGAGTAGCCTGACATTACGATTTTGGTATTCGGGCACTTTGTGGCAGCTTCATTGATGAAGTTCGTCCTAAGCAGCCTAGAGTAAGCTTTCGCCTCTTGCTATGCTTGGTCCATCTTTCACCCAAGAAAGATATCTTTTGGAAAACTTACATGCTTGGGACACCCTCGGTGCCATTTTTGTTGAACCCAGCAAAGGTCGCGGGGTACTCAACACCCTGGATCGAAACGGTTTTGGTCCCACGCTGCTGATTGAGAGCATCGAAAAATGGCGGCCCTGTAACGAGTCCGACGTTGCCGGGCTCAGTGGTGCCCCGAGCAAATATGACGGTGATATCGGCGCACGCTGTATTCTCCTCCAAGTCATCCTCCGTTGTGTCGATGCCGACAGAATCCGCGAGACCCTGTTGGAGAGGGGTTAAGATCAGTCCGACTGCGTCGAGAGCTGCCGCGCCTGCTGGCAGAGTGCTGATTATTCTGAGAAATTGGTTCAGTGGACCAGAAGGAAACTTCTCCAGAACGCCGGGAATATCTTGTCTTTCCTCAAGATCTGAAAAGCCTAGCGCCATTCGGTTCAAGTCGGTCGTGAGCACGTCGGTCTCCGATGCAGGAAGGCCATGAACTAAGGACGCAGTCTGCATGCCAAGGAAGGCGAGGACACATGCCATTCGGCAGGCTGGAAGTGAGAGCAACATTTCGAATGATTTCTCTTGGTGAAACGTTCGGTTGAACGAATGACTTGAATATAAAAATCAGATGCGATGCAGACACTCATCTCAAAAAGAGACAGGTCAAAGGTCTAGAATATATGTTCACGGAGATTTTGCAGGTTTCTCAGGGCTCCAAGGTATGGGTCGAGTTGACAGTCCAAGGCAACGCATGCGATTGGCTCACCGAGAGCTGAAGTTGTCATCTGCCATCAACAGGCACGTCTGTTTGCACGCTTCAGGACGGCTTTACACCTTAAACTAGGGCATATACCTGATAATTGAGTCTATAGGGCCTTGAAGTAGGATCACCCCGCATCGATTCCCGAATGAGTTCAGGGGCAACGTTCAATCCAGGGCGCAATGTACAGCCGTTACTAGTTTTGAGAGCTTGCTATGTCGTATTTCAGTATTTACTCTAGAGTTAATGCCAGAGACTAGATGAACCATTGGCGGGTTCTGACGTATGCAGTCGGATGATGCATGTCAAAAAGCTGGAGAAGAGCACCAACATCGGTCTTTGAAACACATGGGACGACATCAAAGAGCGTCTCAAGCCGAGGCTTGCAAAGCTCCAGCCTCGAGCACAGGCGCAATAGGTAACTGCCGAAGAAATGCAAGGCCACCAACTCCAGCAGTTTGAGGGTGAGGTAGCATCGAGGCCTGCGCTAGTCGGGCTAGCCATGATTTTGCAGGTGCCTCATTGCAACCATCTGAAGTACTCCGCTTTGGCAGCTGTCTGTGCCTCGTGACATATGACGAGA